GAGAGAGAGGGAGGGAGAGAGTAGCCTAGGGCAATTAATGTACTCATCTAACTCTTATGTACCTAAGACATCTTGAAAAGGATTTTTCAAGAGATTCTGTTTCCGCGAAATAATTAAAATAATTCACAGCATTTAAGTAGCAACAACGATAAATGTTAATGTACATGTTTATTTGATATATCAGGTCGACGGGCATGCTGCAGAAATGGGACCAGAACTTGACGAAGAGATGGAGAAGGTTTTTGCGATGGATGCCGGGGAAAAGTTTGACGTAGCCCGACTTGGCTCACCCTCGGAATCGGCTGGATCTGATCGAGATCGAGATCGCGATCGTGGTCCACCATCACGATATGGCGGCGATCGCGATTTCAATCGTGAGTTATATAATTTCTTTTCGAATTATTATTTATCATTTTGTCGAGAATTGAAAATTATAAAAATAACAAACTTTAGAATACCGCAAAAGAAGCTATCCACATCCACACATGCCCCTGAAGAGTCTGCATTCCAGATCTATGCGAAGACATCTTTCACCGTAAGTTGCTTAAAAAGCAAACACTCGACAAAATCTATTTCGTAATTTTCTCGGATTGAGTTGTTGAATTGAAATTTTCGTCATTCTCGTGCGAATCGTCATTCAAAAGAACATGTTTCTTTTGTATCAAATGTAATGTATGCCGACGATCGATTTCATTATGCGAAGTACATGATTAACTTAATATTCTTAAATCCTAAAAGAAACAGGAATGTTTAACTGATTAACTTATGATAACTTTGAGGGACAATTTTATCAAATTCTTCAAATTCGAATCAGCAAAGTTCGATCGAATGAACATAAGAATCTTTTTGCTGAGAAATTAAAATGAAGAAAAGTAGTCTCGGTTTTTCTTTGATTTTCATCTTTAGTGAAGGATCAGCAGAAGTGTACATCGAGGAGGATCGTGGCAATGTCCAAGCGCGGAGTAACGAAGTCCAAGAGGTTGACGGAATGAACCGTAATGGATTGCAATCAACTGTTACAAACGAAGTTGAGGCCGAAATTGATGAAGAAACTGCAGAAGAAACTGAAAATGTAGGCAGCAGTGAGAGCGAAGCGCCAATCTCGGAGAGAGCGGCTTCTGGTTTTAATGATAGTCCAACCGTCGGTAGTCCAAGAGTAGTACAATTTGAAAAAATTAAGGAAGAGGATGCATCGAGTACGCAAATACCGGAAGTATCGATGGATATTGCTCTGAGCGGCCATGAAGACGATCGAAAATGCCGACGCCATCAGAAACACGAACATAAGTAAGTTGTCTCAAGATGACGGCTTGTAAAAAGCATAAGAAAGAGAAAAAGAAAATTAGGTGTTGGTCTAATTAACGATGTATGTAGCATCGAATAAGTGTATAATACTTTTTTCCGATTAGTCAACAACATCTTGATGAGAATACGGGTCAAAGTAACTTTAGATTGAATATTGTGTCTGCAGACAGCACATGCACAGACTCAAATCATCCTCGATATTTTAAAGGCGAAAGTTTAAATCCGACGGTCGCATTTCATGTCACAGTTTTGCGGATTCATATTTGCACTGTATAAACCGCGCAATTATGAACACGAAACAACCGACCCTTATTTCGTACCATCACGAGCAATGGGCTAGATTTACAGCGCGACAATTCCGGTACGAAGCGGTACCAAGTCAGATAGTAGGTTCAAGATTTATGGGGTGTGCTAAAAAATGTATGTATATATACAATCAGACTTGATTAGACATCAGCTTCATTCAGACTGTCTGAATTTCTTAATTCTCTTCATATTACAATTTCCCAAGCAAAAATTACTTTTGAATGTAATAGATTCGATTGTTACGATAAAATTAAGTCCAATCAGAGTTGGAATATAGTAAAAATATAGAGTTTGATATAGTAAATGCATGTTTATCGCAATTATCTCAGTAAGATCAAAAAATTTGTATGCCTAATATACGCTTACATTTGATGGTTCTGATTGACCTTTTCTTTTCTTTATGACATGACCCTTTCTTTTCTTTATTACCAGAGAATAATTCTTTTACTTTCTCTAAAAGTAATAAAAGTTCCTTTTCTTATAAAAAGATTTAACTAACCACTCAATTATCGACTATTCTTCCAGACGTCATCATCACAAATCTCGCAAGTACTCTCTGCAGGAGGATCCACAATGGCGGAAACGATCGGGAGCCGGTCTCCCGGACAGTTCGAGTTTGCTCGCCCGACGCGTCAGCGTTCAGCCAGAAGAAGCGAGTACCTTGCAAGAGCTCGACATCGACGATCTGGAATCGCATCGTAGCGATGATCCGCGTGGCATGCGCCGGCACAAAGCTGCTCATTCGACAGTGCAGATTGGTCGACGGAAGGAGGGTGGCATCCCTCATGACACCTTTAAGAAAATGTATGATCATTCTCCACATGAGGTATTTGTCCAACTGGACGAGCTACATGGTCTAGGTGAGGAACGCGAATGGCGAGAAACTGCTAGGTGGATCAAATACGAGGAGGACGTTGAGGAGGGTGCTGATAGATGGGGAAGGCCTCATGTGGCTTCCCTTAGTTTTCATTCTTTGTTAAACCTCCGTCGTTGCCTGGAAACTGGCGTGGTCCTCCTCGATCTGGAGGAGAAAGATCTGCCCGGGTTAGCTTACAGGATAGTCGAGCAGATGGTCATCGAGGAGCTTATCCTGGCCGAGGACAGACCGATCGTGATGAGAGCACTTCTGCTCAGACATAGACATGTGCACGAACACGAACGTGGTTTCCGATTCGGCGGCAAGAGAAGTTATTCCAGTTATACCAGTCTTCAGGTAATACATCTGTAATGAGAGATCTTTTCATGTAATATGCATTATGCGCATGAAAATGACTGATTCTTGATTAAAATTCGCAAGATTCATTTTCAAATCGCTTGTGTCAAAAATTATTAATTATTAAACACCTATTTAAGGTGAAAAATTGTGATAATCGATTGCTCAATACGCTAATAATCGTGTTTACAGGCTTCAAAACTGCTAAATAATGAATAAATTTGATTTGATGAGACCCAACTCAATTTTAGTTATTCTACAAACTGCAACCTTGGATTTGCAATGTAGTTTGCACGTTTAGAATGTCGTGATTATGAAAAATGAAAATAAAAATTATGACTACATGTTGAATGCTGATATATCTTCTCATGTTCGCGAATTTAAAAATAAATCAATTCCATGCGAATGTCACAGTTTATGGAAATGTCGAAGATCATCTGCAGGGGCAATGTATCAAACGCGATAAGTAGTGAGTAGTCGCAACAGGTGATTATTAGGGAATAGGTTTAACTGACAGTGTGCTAATATTATTTCCACAGTCCATCTGGCTGGAGGAAGAAGATGCTGCGCGGGAAGCTGCTGAGAACCATGTAATCCAACATGTAAATCTCTCGTTTCCCGAATCAAACGCAGTTTTTTTTATTCTTATTACTCTTATTTCTTCATTCTATTCACTCGCACTTCTCATATGAATTTTTACATACATTTATAGTAAATTCGGCATGGATTTTGGGGGACAATAAACGTCCGTCGATTTTCACAATTCTCTCTTTGAGAATTGATTATATACAATTAAAACATGAAACGACATTTTATTGAGTTAATACTTTCAATAATCTGATTTAATAATCTGAATTTTTGCGTTTTATATGCCTAATATTGACACACAATTGATACAACGTTAATATTCATCATTAAATTATCGTTAGTTATAACAAATGGGTAGATATAAAGAGAGCAGTATTGAAAAATAATTGAAACAATCATCAACAATATTAACTTTAAGGTTCATATTAGATGAAGGTTCATATTAGATATAATTTGGCTTCTATGTAATTTTTTAAAATTAGTAAAAAGCTTATTTAAGTGGACTCACTTTTTTACATTTTGTTCTTCATTATTTCTGTAAATAAATGCCACAGTTTTATTTTGTAGTCCGATAGGACTAAATCGCAGCGCGTTTCTACAGCTTGCAGTTTTTCTGTTATGTTGCGTCTTCACGGAGTGTCTTCTTAGCATGACTAGTCCTATACGTGGGTTAAAGTGATTCTAGAAATATTCATGTAGTTCTAGAAATATTAGGTAGACCGTTCGTCGATCATGATAACGACGGCTACAAATGCTTGCAATCGTACGTCGTGCTTTTATTCAAATTTTAATCTTATAGCTTATTATTTTTTCTTTTTGCTTAATTTTATTTAATTATTGCGAAACAAATCACGAAGATATGACATATCTCTCGCAATGTTCACATCAACTATTTTATGCCTTTATAATCTTTAAAATAAATTACCCGCTCTATTCATAGCGTATTTTCATGTATTATTCTAATGTGTGTGTGCGTGCGTGCGTGCGTGCGTGCGTGCGTGCGTGTGTGTGTGTGTGTGTGTGTGTGTGTGTGTGTGTGTGTGTGTGCATTCACAAATACTCTGTACGGTTTTCTTAATGTTTTTTATAATGTATCTTTTTATTCTGTGTTTAATTCCAAACTTAAAAATAACCAGTCAGGTTGCTTTTTTGTATAAAATTTATTATTTATTATTATTTTAAATAACATTTTCTTAATAAATTAAGCAATATCATGAAACTAGATAAGCAGATGTCTCATTCTATAAGTTGAAACAATTCTATATGTTATATTTTCATGAAAAATAAGTTATATGTTTACAAATAATTCTTTTTACCGATTTATTATTTATATAATATTTATATCAATTAATAGACCATTTATCTCTTGATTTATTCTTTTGTTTAATAGCAACTGCTCAGTGACATAGGTTTTTCTAATTTCAAGATATTGAGAAACAGTCGATCGAATTTTTCTTACTGCAGACGTAAATCTTCCATTTTTCTCTTTCTTTGATGGAACTATAAAGTTCTTAGATTGTTCTATAAAAATTTTCGAAACATCCGACAGAATCTGCACGATGCAAAGCCGAAAATCGTATCATCGAACCTGGCGCTCGATAGTAATCATACGGTGATCGATATGAAGGAGGAACTAACGTACATGAGCAGTAACGAAGACTTGAAGAAGAGTCACAACGATTATATTCTCAAGAGAATTCCAGCCGGTGCTGAAGCGACAGTTGTACTTGTTGGCGCCGTCGACTTTCTGGATCAGCCGACGATAGCCTTTGTACGATTGGCGGAAGGTGTATTTATGCCGTCCATCACGGAGGTCACGATACCGGTCAGATTTATGTTTACCCTATTGGGGCCGAGAAACGCGGATTTGGATTATCACGAGATCGGTCGATCGATTTCCACTCTAATGGCGAACACATCGTTCCATAAAGTCGCTTATAAAGCCAACGAAAGGCGAGAGTTGCTCTCAGCAATTAACGAGTTCCTAGATGATTCGATTGTACTGCCACCCGGCGATTGGGAGAGACAGGCCTTGCTACCGTTCGATGAACTTAAGGCAAAGAGCGAAGCTATCCGAAAGAGGAAGGCGAAAGCACTCGAAGAGAAGAGTAAGCCGGTCCAAAGTGAGGCAGCTATAAAGAAAGGTAATTTCTTCTAAATATTAGAAAACTTTTTAAATCTGATAAACCGTTTTGGTGAATACTTGAAACATGATGATTTTCGTTCTATCATTTTTTATTATTATTCGTTCGCAATGTATAATGTATGTGTGTGTGTGTGTGTGTGTGTGTGTGTATACATATAAAACAGCACTTCTAGCCGGCGAAGAGGAAAAAAAGCCATCAGGAGACGATGATGATCCGTTGCGACGTACCAAACGACCATTCGGCGGCCTGATCAACGATATTAAGCGACGCTACCCCTTCTATCTGTCCGATTTCACGGACGGTCTGAGCTCTTCCTGTATCGCGGCAGCTATCTTCATGTATTTCGCCGCTTTGTGCACCGCCATCACTTTTGGTGGCCTGATGAGCGACAAAACACAGAATGTAATAGGCATCTCCGAGACTCTGGTCTCCGGTTCATGGACAGGTGTAGTGATGGCACTATTCTCCACTCAACCACTCGTGATTATAGGCACGACCGGTCCATTATTGCTCTTTGACGAGAGTCTGTACAACTTTTGCTTGGCGAATGAACTTGAATTTCTTACCGTACGAGTATACGTCGGCGTCTGGATGGGCATTATCGCCTTGGCGATCGCCTGCGTCGAAGGTTCAGTCCTTGTACGACTCTTCACACGTTTCACTGAAGAAATCTTTACTGGACTGATTTCCATTCTTTACATCGTCGAGACGTTCATCAAGCTTTACAATTACTTTGTGCGTAATCCTCTTCTCCATGAATACAGCTTTGGGCCGGACGCCAATGATACAACCTATCCACTCTATGTTACCGAGATGAAGATCATCAGATCACTGTGGAATGGAACCGAGGAGAACTTACGTTTGGAGAATACTCACGAATTGATACCGAGCCATGACGTAGATGGACTGCCGATCAATCAACCTAATACGGCTCTAATGTGTACCATCCTTTGTCTGGGCACCTTTCTAGGTGCGTATTACCTGAGAATATTCCGCAACAGCCATTATTTGGGCCGTAATGCACGAAGAGCTTTCGGAGACTTTGGTGTTCCTATCAGCATCGTCGTTTTCGTCCTGATCGACTATCTAGTTATGGTAAAAACGGAGAAGTTACTGGTTCCCGAGGGACTTTCTCCGACTGTACCCGGTAGAAGTTGGTTTGTGTCTCCCGCTGGATATGAGAAACCTATACCGCTATGGATGGCTGTAGCTTGTTTTGTGCCAGCTTTCCTAGTTTATATTCTGGTGTTTATGGAAACTCAAATATCGGAGTAAGTGTAAATTTAATTTAAATCACATTCGTTAGCTATCAGAAACAGTTTGTATTCTGACTAATCACGATGTCTGTTTTTCAGATTGATTATCGATAAAAAAGAGCGCAAACTGCGGAAGGGTAATGGCTACCACATGGACATCGTAGTGGTTTGCCTAATGAATGTAGGATGTGGCTTGATGGGTGCTCCCTGGTGTAGCGCCGCATCGGTACGCTCCCTTACCCATGTGTCCGCCGTAACAGTGATGTCACGCACTCACGCGCCTGGCGATAAGCCGCACATCGTTGAGGTGAAGGAGCAACGAGTAAGCGCTCTTCTGGTCGCGATACTTATAGGCGTGAGCGTGCTAATGGCACCGCTGCTGAGACGAGTACCAATGTCCGTCCTACTTGGTGTGTTCCTGTACATGGGCATCTCATCGACGAACGGCGTACAACTGTTTGATCGTGTCAAGCTCTTTTTCGTGCCAGTTAAGCATCATGGCACAGCAAATTATGTGCGCCGCGTGCAAACCTACAAGATGCACATCTTCACTTTCATACAGATCTTGTGCCTGGCCATATTGTGGATCGTTAAGAGCACCAGAGCTGCTCTGGCTCTGCCTTTTTTCCTTATCCTAATGATACCGCTACGTGCTCAAATGAGCCACTTCTTCACCACCGCAGAACTACGTGCCCTCGACAGCAAAGGATCCGAGCATGAAGTCGAAGACGAATTAGATTTCTATGAGGAGGCTCCTCTACCTGGTTGATTGTGCCTTAATCGACTTAATACACACAGTGTCTCTCTCT